TCCCCCTTCCCCACCCTTTTGTTTTATTTTATTTTTTACTTTTTTCGGGTTAGAATTTTAACTTTTTCAACGTCTACATCCTTTTTTTTTTTTTTTTTTTTCTTTTCATTTCATTTCAAACCTTTTTTAACCCTTTCATTCTTTCGATCTTCGTTCCAACATTCTCTCTCTCTCTCTCTTTCTCTCTTTTTTTTTCTTTCATTCTTTCCTTCCTTCTCATTTTTTGTCGTAATTGAATTTTTCAAAAATTAAAAGGTTTCTTCTCTTTTTACATTATTCTTTAATTTTGGTTTTTCCCTTTTTTTTCCCTTTTTTTTTTGTCCTAAAATGATTGTAATTCGAACGATTTTATCATTATTATTATTATTATTATTATTATTATTATTATTATTATTATTATTATTATTATTATTATCGACGTCGTCGTGGAAAGAACAAAAAAAAATAAAAAAATGAAAATATTATAATTAAAAATGTCGTGTATCATTTTTTATTAATTTTTTTTTTGTAAATTTACACGAAAGAAATTTTAAAATAAAAATTACGCGCGCGCTGCTGCCACGACAAAAAAATTTTTTTAAAAGTAATTTACCTACTAGTAATAATAATAATAATAATAATAATAATAATTTGATTATGTTAACGAATGATTGATTTACATCGTAAAAATTCTTAATAATTTGATTTAGTTGATTCGAAAAAAAAAAAAAAGGAAAAAAATTTTACGAAAATTGTTTTGAAATTTTTTTTTTTTAATATTTTTTCCAGAACGTTTCTTCCAATCGATTTTCCAAAAAAAAAAAAAAAAAAAAAATTTCGTGCTTCAATATTGTAAATTTTTTTTTTTTTTTTTTTCGATTTAAAATAAAATAAAATAAAATAAAAAAAGGTAGTAAGTAAAAAGTTTTTTTTTTTTTCGTGCAATGATAAAAAAAAAAAAAAAATTTACGTGGAAGCAGAATTTGAAAATTTTAATCAAAAAAAAAAAAAAAAAAAATTTTATATATATATATTTTTTTTTTTGAAACATATAAAAAAAAAAAAACTTTTTCGTTTTAAACGTAAAAAAATAAAATAAATAAATTTATGTACGAAAAATAATAAAAATAATAAAAATAAATAAATAAATAAATAATAGGCGGTGATTGTATAATATGAATTTATTTATTTATTTATTTTTGTTACGCGAACGAATAAATAATTAATTTAAATAAAATTAATACGACACGCTTGTAATTAATAATAATAATAATAATAATAATAATAACGAGAGGGGGGGGGAGAATGTCAGGATCGACGGCACCCGATACTAGCCCAAGTAGTTCACATAGAGAAAAAGGAACGAAAAAAGGAGTAGGAAGAAGAGAAGAATGACGACAGCAAAGAAGAAGCTAAAGAGAGTGAACGCTTCGGATACTAATAAGAAGACCACGCATGATTGGCAACACTGTGGAAAGCTTAAGATTGAAACGGAAGCGTTTATTACAGCTGCTAAAGGCATGAATATCTGGAGAGGTACAATAAAACCTGTAAATATCTCCATTGGAGTATATGCCGAGAATATGGAATGGAAGGATTACCCAAGGAGTGGTACAAACCCCGGTTACGACGGCGGGTTCATGCACGGTTCTGTACCATCAACAAATCCACACTGATAGAACTGTGCCAGACAACAAACCGGATATCATACTGAGACACATTGAAGTATCCGTACCGGCGGAAAGAAGCGGGTTAAAGGTAGAAATAGCCAGATTGAAAGGAGGAGTAAAACAGGAACGATTCCGATCATCGTGGGAGCATCACCGGAAGCCATAACCACATTCAAGAATTTAAAAGAAGAAACCGGAAGAGGAAATGACGTCATGTGGAACGGCTCACATTCTACAGAAAATACTATAAATAGCACCAACGAAATTCGAGCATTTATATTCCTGTGGAATCGTCGGGTAGAAACCTGGAATGGAAAACTCCAAACAAGTACATGGAATCTTGTCGCGTTCGAAAGTGAAAATAATAATAATAATAATAAGTTTAATTTCATCGCTATGATATTTTACAAAAGGAAAAGAGAGAGAGAAAAAAAAAGGTATGAAATTTCAAAAAAAAAAAAAAAAAAAAAAAAAAAAGAGAGAGAGAGGCAAAAAGGATTTTTTATATATAAACCTTTCAAAGGATGAAAAATTTAATTTTTCGTCACACCTTTCGCATTCTATTATTATTATTATTATTATTATTATTATTATTACCTTTTGAAAAATTTAATAAAATCATTTAAATCGTGATCGTTTTTTTTTTTTTTTTTTTTTTTTTTTTTTTCAAGTGTGTGCGAGAGAGAAAGAGAGAGTTTTTTTAAATCAAAAAATATTTTTTTCTGTCGCGCGCACGCGCGTGCGCAAAAAATAATAATAATAATAATAATAACGTACGAAAATTGACTGACGTCATCAAAGTTTTTTCGAAACGATTGAAAATGAATTTAAAATGAAAAAAAGCTCTCAAATGATTGTTACCCCGTTATAAAATAAAATGCGCACATTAAAAAAAAAAAAAAAAAAAAAAAAACGAAATCGATGCCAACGGAATTTTTTTTTTTTTTTTAAATTTTCCAGGATTTTTTCGGGATAACGACAGCAATAACGACAAAATGCGAAAAAAAAGCCCAAGATGAAAAAAAAAAAAAAATTAATCAATATCATTTAAAAATTTAAAAAACAAAAAAACCCCCCCCCCCCCCTCCCCCCCCAAAAAAAAAAGAAAAAAAAATATCACATTTCATTTTACGTTGTCGGTCACACGAAAAAAAAAAATGAAAATAATAATAATAATCTTTTCGTATTATTCACACCTGAAAACCTTTTTATTTTTTTTTGTCGACCTTTTTTTTTTTTTTTTTTTTTTGCTTTTTTACTTTATTAATTTTTAATTTTCTTTATTTTTTTGGGGGGAGGGGAGGCGAGGGAGAGAGGGATAGATAGCGTGCGTGTGTTTGTGCGTGAATTTATGCGTAAACGACAAATCACAATGAAATGATTTTAAAAAAAAAAAAATATTCGATACGGAAAACTTTTTCTTTTGTAATCTTACGACAAAAATCCCCTCACTTTATTCTCGTTCCACTAACAAAGAAAAGAAAAAGTTTTTCTTCGTTTTAATTCGATTGCGACAAATCTTTTCATTTTATTTTTAACGACTTTTTTTTAAGCCTTTTCGGGCCACGAACGTCTCAACTAAAAAAAATTAAGGGCGAAAATTTATTATTATTATTATTATTATTATTATCATTATTATTATTATTGTCATTTTAAAAAAAAATAAACAAGAAGATTCGAGAATAAAGAAAAACCGGAAAATTTTTTTTTACGAGTAAATAAAATTTTATAATTTTTTTTTTTTTAAAGCAAGACGATGATGAAATGCAAATAATAGTAATAATAACAATAATAATAATAATGATAATAATAATATGTACCGTGTTGTTTACCGTCGGATATTACGTGTACTACCCACGCACAAGGAAAAAAAAAAATAAAAGAAACCGGAAACGGAAACGATTTTATGATTTTGTAAACCGGAAACGAAATGTGATTTAATTTTTTTTTTTTCGTTATGAAAAGTGTTTGTCGTTGTTGTTGTTGTTGTTGTCGTTTTCATCGAAGGTTGGAAAATATTTCGTTTTTTTTTTTTTTTTTTTCATTTCATCACGTCGTGAGAAAATTTATTATACCGGAAGTGAAATTTAAAATTTAAAACTAACTGCAATCGTTTGTTTGTTGTTTTTTTTTAAAAAGAAAAATGAAAATTTATAAAGAGAAAAAGGATTTTTAAAAATTCTAAAGAGAGAGAGAGAGAGAGAGAGAAAAAAAAAGATCATCATCATCATCATCATCATTATTATTATCATCAACGCCTTTTTTTTTTTTTTTTTTAATGTTGGTAAAACAATTATAAATTAAATAAAAAAGTGTCGATTTCGTTTTAAAAATTTAATTTTTTTTTTTTTTTTTTTTGTATTAAAAGAATAAAATTTACCGGAAAAAAATAATAATGATGATAGTGATGATGATGATGATGATGATGATGATGATGATGGTGATGATGATGATGATGATGATGATGATGATGATGATGATGATGATGATGACGATGATGATGATTTAACAAAAAAAAAAAAAAAAACTTTCAAATATTTAATATAAAGCGTTCATTTAATTTTTAAAAAAAAGGGAAAAAAAGGGGGGGGGGGGAAAATCTTTGTTCTTTTAACTTTAACAGTTTTATTTTTCATCTCTCTATCTCTCTCCCTCACTCTCTCACTCTCTCTCTTTTTTTTTTGTGTCGTTCAAAAAGAATTTTCTTGACAAAGCTTTAAAAGCTCAAATAAATGCCATCAATATCCTTAAGATTTCCCCAGAGGAGATTTTTATCATTGTCAATCTTATGAAGGGCAGTCGTAAAGAACGAGCGAACGAACGAACAAAAAAAAAGGAAGGGAAAAAAAAGAAGGAAAAAAAAGGAAGGAAAAAAAAGGAAAACTCTGGAATAAAATTGATGAATTTTTTTTTTTTTAATAAAACGTATAAAAAAAAAATGTCGTCGAACGGTTTAATAAATATTTTAACGTTTTATTTAAAAAAAAAAAAGAAAAAAAAATTATAATTAATGTGAGCCGTACACCCTCCCACCCGTCACCCCCGCTCCCCACCACCACACCACCCCACTCTTTTTTTTTACAAAAATTAATGGCGAGAGATTTTTTTTCCTTTTTTTCTTTTTTTTTTTTCATAAATTGAATAAATTTATGTTACAGAAATAGAATAATAAGAAGACGAAAAAAAAAAAAAGAAAAAAGAAAAAAAAATGATGAAGTGCCAAAAGAGGAGACGACTGGAGCCTGATAAAAGGCGAAAATGAATTATTGGGCCCTAGGGGCCTAGCCCCTGCCCGACACCCCGCGGACTAAAGGCTGGGGTGCCATCACCAAGCATGGTGCTCATTAGAGAATGAAGAAGCAAAACGTCCGGACTCTGTCGTTGATAGTCTGCACGTTTACTTATCTTCTCATCGGCGCTGCTGTTTTCGACGCTTTAGAATCCCCAACGGAAAAAAAAAGATGCGAAAGCCTACGAGGTAAATAAACAAACATGTCTCCCTTCCCTACCCCTACCCTCCCCTTAGCCCCCTCTACCCAACCTACCTCCACCTCCTCCCCTCCTTCCCTTTGTTTCCAGCGAATTTCAATCAATCGATCAATCAATCAAGAGTGCATAAATTATAATTTCGTATCGTTTTAATAATAATAATAATAATAATAAACGATTCGTTTTCAATATCATATACATATATATAAAAGCAGAAGACAAATTTTTTTTTTTTTTTTTAGTCAAAACCACTTTGTTTTTATCCAGTGAAATTCTAATCCTTAATTGATTGGTAAACGCCATTTCTTTCTTAGCGTCCTTCATTTTTTTTTTAATAAAAAAAAAAAAAAAAAAAAAAAAGTAGTCGGCGTGTGTCCATGGAAACTAACCGCCGATTGTATTACGTCATTATTATTATTATTATTATTATTATTAGTCTTCCTTACTTACTTCCTGACCGCTTATTTTTTTTTTTTTAATAATTTTTTCCCTTTCCTAATACTACTTGTTCTTTTTCTCTCTCGCGTAATAATTTGTCCGTCGGTCTGTCTAATAATAATAATAATAATAATAATAAATTAATGTTTTATTTTCCGTCAAACTACTCCCCGAGAAATAAGAGTGACGTAAAAAATAAATCCTTTCGTTTATTATTATTATTATTATTATTATCGGTCATTCCTAAAAGACGACAAGAGTCTTATTTGTCGAGATTTTTAAGCATTTATTCTTCCAGGTTTCTACTCCTGGAAAATTCCTTAGGGATAAATGCTCGTTGTTATTACTATTATTATTATTATTATTATTATTATTATTATTGATTTTTTTTTGTTTTTCTTTAAATAGATATTGAGAAAATGATAAAAACAAAATACAACATGACAGCAGATGATTATTTGGTTTTGGAAACTGTCGTATTAAAATATGAACCGCACAAAGCAGGTCAACAATGGAAATTTGCTGGAGCTTTTTATTATGCCACAACCGTCCTCACAACAATTG